TAAATTACTAAACCTAGTTGGACTACTTATGTTAACAAAAAGTTAAGATTCAGGTGTAACCCCCCCCCCCCCTCTCATTATTATCACTGTGTTCATAACGAAAGAATGATCAGTAAAAAATGTTTAAACTCACCACAATTAGAGCAGGTTGCTTCCTTGATCTTTCTCAGAGATTTCTTAGATGAGAGAATAGGAGGAGCGGTCATCACAAACCTGGCCAGTTCAGCCTTTCCGGTAAACTTGCCTTGCTGAGCTGCCAGGAACAGATTGTACTTCTTCCCAACCTTCAAGTCCAGCTCGTAGATGCAAGCCTCAAGGTAGGATCTAGCTGCCGGCATAGATCGGAGCTGAGGACCAGTCCTGCTCTCGGGTTTGATAAAAAGAAGTTGAAGTTTTCTGCCCTGTTCAGTTGGAAATCTGGGGGAATCCTTGAGTATATTCTGAACCTGAATTATTTAAAGATATAATACACAGAAATTTTTACAAGTAACAATAAACTAAAAAATGAATATAAACAACGAAAGATGTTAAAAATATTATAAGTTGAATCAATACCTGAAGTGTGACCGCGTAGATATTGTTCCTGACCGGGCTGACCTCTATGACACCAGCCTCTACAACAACCTCGGAGCCTTTAACCATCCTCTGTATACTCCGAGGAGCCCGACAGGCGGAGCTAAACCCTGCTCTTGGAATAGCATTAAAATCTCCGTGTGGGGCTGTAAAACAACCCTGAGAAAAAAGGATCACAAGAATAAAAACGTGAAACATGGTTAGATTTAAAATATCTAGTTTACTTCTTTCTGGTTTAATGATCTGTGGCGAACTGAATGATTTGCGGGGGAGGATGGTCAGGAACCAACCCTACCCCCCCCCCGGGTTTGGGGGACCCCCCACCTTTGCGGATCCTACCGCGCATGCGTCCTTATCCTTATCTTATCTGGTGACGGGGGTGTGAATAGTGATAGAAAAATGGTTAATTCATCCTCACCTGAAGACCGCGGACCTTAGAATAGATAACATTTCAAGACGTAATTAATTCTTACATGAAGAAAAGATAAGAATTTACTGGTCAATTTTCTAATGGTGACAATTTTGATGGATTGTCTATTTGCTTAATATTATTGGATGGACCGAGGGTCACGTGGTTCAGATAATTTGATC